TTGGGTGTGTGCACTTGACTGAGCGCAGTGTCCTCAGAAGCCAGCAGGCTCAGGTCAGCTAGGAGCTGGGTGTGACCTGATGAACTCATGTAGGTGTTCTTGTCTCCAGGCCTCTTTCCTCCATTTATTTATTTATTTATTTATTTATTTATTTTTATTTACTTGCCTGCCTGCCTATCTATATCTATCTATCTATCTATCTATCTATCTATCTATCTATCTATCGATCGATCGAGAGAGTATCTCAGTGTAACCCAGACTGGCCTCAAATTTGCTATACAGCATGCCTCTACTCCCAGCACCAGGGAGGCCTCTGTGAGTTCAAGGCCAGCCTGGTCTATATAGTGAGTTTCAGGCAAACAGAGCTATGTAGAGAGAACTTGTCTCAAAACGTGAAGAGGACCCAGAAAGACAGCTAGTCCCCATGACCTGAGTTTAATCCTCAGGAACTATGTGAAGGACAGAAGCAACTCCAGCAAGACCTCTGACTCTCACATAAACAAAATAAAGGGCTGGTGTAGGCTTTTATTGTTTTTTTAAACCAAGAATTAAAATAAATTGGGGGGGCTCAGTTGGTAAAGTGACAGCTGCACAAGCTTAAGGACCTGACTTTGAATTCCTAACACCCCTCTAAAAACTAGGTGCTGCAACCCTACCCTTAGGAAGGCAGAGATAGGTTGGTCCCTGGAACTATTGCCCAGCCATCTTACCCAAACCCATGAGCTCCAGGTATAGTAAGAAACCCGGTCTCAAAAATAGGGTAAGGAAAAAAAAAAAATGGAGGCGCTGTTGAGATGTCTCAGTTGGTAAAGGAGCTTGCCATTTCCCAGGTAAATGACCTGGTCTGGATCACTGGAACCTATATGGTAGAAAGACAGAGCCAGCTCCCACAAGTTGTACCCTGATCTTTAAGCGTCATGGCATGTACACACTGTGCCCATAGACACACACACTATATAAACACAAATTAAAAGATAATAATCAAGGAAGATACTTGACATTGACCTTTGCCCCTATATGTGCATATACCCACATGAACTATACATACATCTGCTCACATACACATGAAAGAGAAAAATGATGATGATGGCACTGAGGGTGAACTTGGTGGTAGACTCAGGGAGAGCACATGTTTAGTGCGCGCGTGCACGCGCGCGCGCACACACACACACACACACACACACACACACACACACACACAGCTGCAGTCCCAGCTCTCAGAAGGCAGAGGCAGAAAGATTACTTGAACCCAGACAATCTAGAGAACACAGAAAAGATACACTGACTATGCTATAAAGACAATATAGGAGATGACACAAATGTAATTTGACAGTTAGATTGGATGGCAAAGGAGACCAAATGAAAAAGTAACATTTGCTAAAATGCAAAAGGCAAGGACTCAATCATATGGAAGGACAAGGCTTTCCACTAAGAAACAGCAACAGAAGGCAGGCCAGTGCAGTGTCAAGGAAGGGATGCAAGGGCAACACAGAAATTTACAGTGAGAGACCCAGGGTTGTCTGAAGAAGAGAACCAGGAGACTGATGCAGGATTAAAGAAAGCAGAGCCCACAGCATGTGAAGGCTGCAGCAGGAAGAACACGGGCGCTGTGCTGGAGCGAGCAGACTGGAGCGAGCAGGAGGAGACAGACCACACAGGTAACTACAGGAAGCGGGCTAAGGATGGTAGAAAGCAGCTAGAGGGACTCAGCCACATGAGCAGGTGCCAGGGCTACAGTGTTCTAGAGCTGAGGAAGATGGGGTTGAGCAGACAGCTGGGCAGCTCTCTGGTAACAAAGTTAAACAGCTATTTGAAATCCAGGTGGAAACAGGGCAAAACCATTTCTAGAGAGCATGAAATCATTAACATATGTAGGGTATTTAAAACTACTTACAGTTCTGAAATTAACCTAATTGTAATAATCACCTGGGAAATTTCATGAAAATATAGTACCTGGGGCTGGAGATGGCTCAGTGGTTAAGAGCACTAACTGCTCTTCCAGAGGACCAGGGTGCAATTCCCAACATACACACACAGTTCACACCTGTCTGTAACTTCAAGATCTGACACCCCCCCACAGACATACATGCAGGCAAATCACCAATGTACATAAAAAGAAAAATAAATTATAAATGTGTGAATGTATATATAGTATATAATGTATATATAATCACCAATGTACATAAAAAGAAAAATAAATTATAAATGTGTGAATGTATATATAATATATAATGTATATATAGTATCAATTAATACATATAATGTGATATATATCCCATTTTCCAGGGAACATTTTTCAATTAAAAGTCTGAAACAGAGCCTAGGAATTATACTTTTCCAGAGAATCAGAGTTAAGTGTGGGAGACAATTCTATCCACTCAATGTGTGGGGTGTGGAAGAACATGCCTATAATGCCTGAAGGTGGGAAGCTGAGGCAGGAGAACTGTGAGTTTGGCGTCACCCTAGGTTAAACAGTGAGTTCAAGACTGGCCTGTGTGCCAGGCTGATCTCTGTGGGTTCAAGGCCAGGCTGGTCTACAAAGAGAGTTCCAGGACAGTTGGAGATGTTACACAGAAAAACCCTGTCTCAAACCAAAAAAACAAACAAACTGGCCTGTGCTACATAGTGAAGTCCTGCCTCAAAATTAAATAAAAAAGAAATTCATCAAGCTAACACTTACCTTAGAAGATGCTATAAGCACTAAATTAGATTATATGTAAAGCACCTAGGATATAGTAAGTAAGTATTCAATAAACATTAGGTCAACTTACACTTCCATTAGTGCTTGAAGGGTTCTTAGTGAGGCAGTGTGGTAGAAATAACATGGGTCCTGTAATCAGACAAACCTGGGTTCAAAGCCTAGCCCTTACATTTAATTTCTGTCTGACCTTGGGCAAGTTACCTCATCTAAGTCTCATGTCTTCACTCTGCCTCGCAGTGTCATATGATTAAACAGAATCATGTGTGTGTGTTTAGGGTTAAATAGGCTGTGTGAGAGTACTCTAAATAGCAGTGAGAGCAAATATATGCAGTAACATGGAGAAATCTCAAAAGCAAAAGAGGTACACAAAAAGAAATAAGAAACACAAAAGCACATATACAATGATTATATTTAAATAGTTTCAAGAGTAGGAAAAATGAAGTCATATATTGCTGACTATATGAATATAATACATAATGCTATAAAATATGGTGTCCAGGCCTAGTAGTACAGGCCTATAATCCCAGTTACTTAAGAAGCTGAGGCAGGAGGATCCCAAGATGAAAGCTTTCCTGAGCGACTGAGGATAAGTTTAACTGAAGTTAACAAGCACAACCTCGTGAGAGCTTGTTTCAGAATAGAAATACCAAGTGGTGAAGCTATAGCTCAGTGGTAGACTACTTGCCTAGCAGGCAGGGGGCCTGGGAAACAGCAGCAGCAGCAAAAAAAGTGAAGAATGGACTACAAAGTTCTAAATGGATGTCTCTGAAGGAAGAGGAGGAAATAACTACTAAGAGCACCTAACAACTACTGGTTCTCTTGCTGGACATTGAGGCTTTATTCCAAAATTATTTTAAAAACTGATACATTCCAAAAGTAACCAAATTTTGTAGTAGTTACTTAAAAAGATCTTAATAATATTTTAAAAATAGCCGGGCGTTGGTGGCGCACACCTTTAATCCCAGCATTCGGGAGGCAGAGGCATGCGGATCTCTGTGAGTTCAAGACCAGCCTGGTCTACAGAGCTAGTTCCAGGATAGCCTCCAAAACAATACAGAGAAACCCTGTCTCGAAAAAAACCAAAAAAAAAAATTTTTTTTAAATAAACTTTATACAATCTTTAGTTTTATATATATAAGTGAAAGAAATTCACCTAATATTAAGAAGAGAGTTAGAAACCAACCTGTGTCTACTGTTCTCATTCAGTGTTGGAGCCGTCTTAAACCATACTACATAAATACAATGTATCACGGTGAGTTAGAACAGAATCCACAAGCTCACTTACCACTCTGGTAGTACTTAGAATCATGTGTCCATCTGAAGCCAGTGCACAGACCAAAGTCAGTCAATTTAATATGGCCATCTCGGTCAATCAAAATGTTATCAGGTTTAATATCTCTATGAATGAAGCCCATTTTATGAACACTTTCAACTGCACAGGTAAGCTCTGCTATGTAGAATCGTGCCAAGTTCTCTGGAAAGATGCCCATTCTAATCAATAGGCTCATCATATCACCCCCAGGAATGTAGTCCATCACAAAGTACAAATTGTCCTTATCTTGGAATGAATAATACAACCGAACTACCCACTCATTGTCAGCTTCAGCTAGGATGTCTCTCTCGGCTTTAACATGAGCGACTTGATTTCGAAGTAGAACATCTTTCTTTCGCAGGGTTTTTGTTGCATACAAAGCTTTAGTATCAACTTTTCTTGCTAGACAGACTTCACCAAACGCTCCTATTCCTAGTGTCTTTATCTTCACAAACATAGACTTGTCCATTTTAGCCCTCTTAAGACGAATATAGTTAGACTCTTTCTGGCAAAGCATCTTTCTCATTTGATCCTGGGCATCTTGAGATAATCCAACCTAGGTAAATAAACCAGAGGTTAAACAAGGAATTGCATTGAACAGTAAGAAAAAAGAAAAAATTCAGGCATATTTTTGAAAGTTAAATGCATAATGATTTTTAATGAAGCAGGTTAGAATTCTAGAATGTATTTCAGAGAAAAATTAATGATCAAAGTCAAGCTGGAAAGGTAGTAGACAATACACAAGGTGAGTATATATACAAATTCAGCTCTGGAGCAAGTAGAAGAGGATATCAACAGTCAGGCATCTATTCCTCTCTAAAGTACTCACAGAATAGCTCCCCAATACACAGTAAAACAGATGTCTGCAACATGCGCTCTCAACTCTCTCCATGCATATTCTCAAATTATAGCATCAGACTGCCTTCAAAACGTTTCTACAGAATGTCTAGGCCTCAAATATGTTCCCCTTCATTTTATCTTTCACAGAGAGAAACTTCTTCACCCAGGCTCAAGCAAAATGGAAGGAAGGACGGAAAGAAGGAACGAATGAACGAACGAACGGACAATAAATGTCTCAGTAGGTAAAGGCATCTGAGGCCAAGTCTGACTCTCCCAGTTTGATCCCTGGGACCCGCATGGTGGACAGAACCAACTCCCTCATGTTGTCTTCTGACCCCTACATGTCTCAGAGGCTTGTGTGCATGTGTGCATGAATATACACATATATAGAGAGACACATATAAATAAAAATGTAGCTAAGGATTTTTAAAAGAAATATACTAAAGTCATGGTAATCTTTCTTTTTCTTTCTGAGGCCATTAAAGTGTAAGGAAGGATGAGACTCTTAGTATACCTCTAACAAAGTGTAAAGGGGACAACCTGCTTGGTATCTTTTAGATATTCTGAAATCATTTTTAAAATTATTGTGATTAAGGGCATTATCAATCAAAAAGCAGATAACCACAAAGCTCAGCTTCTAAGCAGTGACAGGATAACGACTTAGAAGGCAAGGAATTTCTTTGACTACTAAAGAATTTACTAAAGTTTAAAAGGACAAGTCTTGGAAGAGTAGAGGCCAATTTTAGAAATGCAAGACTAATCTCAAACAGCAACCTCATGCTTCTGTTAGAATGTGCATTTGCATGCAAAGTCTTTTCAGAGTGGTAACATGCTAAACTTAGTACACAACTCTTTCTCTTAAAATCTTACTTGCCTACACAGTAATGGAGGCTACGGAAGTCAGCAAAGCTTCCAACATCATGAAAGTTTAAGTCAGCTATTAGTGAAAGTGAAGAGGAAAAAGGAAAAATAAACTAAGAAAACACATAGACTTTAGTAAGAAATTCTAAGAACAATGTGAATAAAAGTATTTGTGGTATTTCTCATTTAGCATAATTATTTATAGTAAGAAAATATCGGCCAGGCAGTAGTAACACAAGCCTTTAATCCCAGCACTCGAAAGGCAGAGGCAGGTGGTTCTCTGAGTTCCATACCAGCCAGAGCTAGACAGAGAAAACACATCTCAAAACCTGCACCCGCCCCGTACTGACTAAAGTGATACTTTAAATAATCATTTTACAGCTCTTTCAGTATAATGTAGGAAGAAACATAATCTTCTTACACTTTGAGCAGTAGATGTAAAAGGAAGGAAAATCAAAGCTTTGTACTCTGAGCATGATACAATCATGATGGCGAGGGCTGGACCATAGCACCTACCAATGACATCTATGCGGGATCTGAAGGGAGTATACAGTACTCTACCAATGACATCTATGCGGGATCTGAAGGGAGTATACAGTACTCTGGTCTCAGTGCATTCAACAATTTCAGCCTATTTTCCTCAAGCATAATTAGAAGAAGAAAATAACTGCAAAGAGTAGATTTTGACCTTTCTTTTCATTTTTTTTCTCCTGGTTTGTGTGACAATCTTGCTACACAGCCTTGGCTGCCTTGGAACTAGCAATGCATGTCTCAGTCTCCTGACTGCTGGGATTAGGGGTGTGTGCCACCATGCCTGGTGACTTTGACACTTTCTAATAATGTGTATATAAAGAATAAATACCAAATTCTCAGCTAAAAAGCAATAATTCTTATGTATATTGAAAGATAACCCAGATATTTCTGGTTGACTTTTGTATGTTATAAAATAATATATAAAAACTAGAAATTAGGCCAGCCTGGTCTACAGAACGAGTTCCAGGACAGACTCCAAACCAATATAGAGAAACCCTGTCTCAAAAAAAAACAAAACAAAACCTAGAAATCAACCCTTGTTTTAATTTCCATATCCCACATACTATTAATAATGTATTTTAAATTTATACAAGAAACTTTATTACAGTAAATGCTGAATAAATCACTGGAATGCTACAATCAAAAATTCTCCCAAAGTTTACTCAAATTATTGGCAATACATTATATCTCTCTACAAGAATACTGGAGCATAGTATTTTAAAATACCAAGGAAAGAGAAGCTCAAGTATGGAAATATTTGTAAAAGTTTTACCCGCATCATTTCATTTTCTAATTGTTTTTTCCGATGCAGACGCTGCTGATGAGATTTCAGGACATTTTCTACGTGCTGCTCCATAAAGAATTTAAATGCCTGAGGCGAGTAACTCTGAATCCGAGATTCTCTTCGTTCTTCATCTTTCTTGTTTTTCCTAACAGTGATAGGTGAAGTTGTAATCTGTTTCTTTTCTTTATCCCCACTATCAACGTTTTCCAGACTTTTCTCACCATCATCTTCCTTGGGTAAGCTAGGCTGATCATCTTTGCACGGTTTATTTATCAACTCATATGGAGGAACAGATGGGTTTGGGTGTAGCAAATGTTTTGGATAAGGTGGTGGTGGACCTTGATAGCTTGGAGCTTCAGCAGCTGGTGGTATGACAGGCACATTTGAAGCTGCACCCTCGGGAAAAGGGGTAGGCTGAACAGTCTGAATTGGCTGTGGCATCCAGGAAGGATGGGTAGGGGCTAAAGCAGTTTGCAGCTCTGGTTTCAGGACACGGATGCTTTTCACAGGCTGTTGGATAGGAGCTGGTGTGATTGCAGTGACTGTAGTGGCTGAGGGCTGAGAATTAGCAGAGTGACTTGGTCTACTTCCTAATGGGTTATTAAAAGAGTTTGACCTCACTGGTATGTTAGGTTGCCATGTAGGAATTTCATGTCCACTGCTTGGGGATGACTGGACAGGAGCAGAGGATGACTGGGGCCAGGTTGTTTGCAATCCAGGAATACTGACATTATAAAGCTCCATGTTATGACTGTTCCTGTTTGGCACCGTCATAGATTGGGGAATATTTCCATTTGCATATGATGGAGGAGCAGCAGATCCCCCTGCTTGTAAAGCAGATGGGCTCTGTCCATTAGTCGGGGTCAGAGGATATGGAGGTGGTGGCTGCCGATTTACAGCCCCAGCAGGGACAACATTTTGGTGCATGATAAAATCAGTCTGACCACCACCATTCTGAACTCCAGGTCTCCCTGGTGGAAAGGTAAATTTGTTAGTACTTTGCATGATGATTGGTTGCCTGCCAACTGGAACACAATTAATGCCTCTCTGTCCCTGGTTAGGAGGATTCATGGGAGAAGTGTTAAGAGGTGGTGGAGGGTAGCCCTCCTGCCATGTCCCAGGTGGAACAGGAGAGATTCGGGAGATTACATATTCCATGTTCCCAGAATAGCGCTTTGTCTGCGAGTTTGGTTCCCATGAGGGGGGAGGTGGAGTTGTGCCTCGTGGAGGGGGAGTCTGGCCTCTTGGAGGTGGTGGAGGAGTAACACTCCTAACCTGAGGTGGTGGTGGGGGGTTCACTCTCTGTCCGTTGCTTGGGTGAGCTTGAGCAAATGCTGTAATGCCGGATCCAGACAGGGGTCTTCCTACATCGGCCTGTGAGTTGGGGCTTTCAGAACGATAGACCACATTTTCTCCTAGAGGTGGGCCGTGTCTCTGAGGAACTAAAGACTCTTTAGAACCTTTCCAGCTTTGTTTTCGGTTAATTGATTGTTGCACATTTCCTGTGATTATAAAAGAGATAACAGTCATGGTTTTTTAACTTGTCTTTTTAAAATAATTTATCTCAGAATTCTGATTCTACTAAATGTTAGTCAAGTTAAGAATTGTAAAAAAGGAGTAAGTCAAGAGACCAGTCTTACAACATGTTGACCATAGTGACTGCATTCTTGGGGCTGGAAAGATGGCTCCGTGGTTAAAATTGTCCACCGCTCTTACAGAGGACCCATGTTCAGTTCCCACTACCCACAGGGCAGTTCACAATGGTAACTCCAGCTCCTGGGCATCTAATACCCTCTTTTGAACTTCACATGCACTAGATACATGAGCCCACATAGACACATGCAAGTAAAACATTCATAACAAAAATATAGCAAAAACCCAATGCATTCTTGGGAACTGCCCAAAACAATTAATTGACTAATTATTTCAAGGCTCTTATTTGTCCAGCAGTCTAAACCAGCCTCAGATTCTTGGTCCTCTTGCTCTAGACTTCCATGTACTGGGAAAACAAGGATAAACCAACCCTGCCCAGATCTAAGAGAGCAGATTTTAAGTATTCCAATCACACACTCCCGCAACAAAAGAAAGAGTTAGCTTGATTTAGCCCTTACCCACAAAGGTTATGAAATACAATTCCAGAAAGTGGTTTTACTTAAAAACATGTGTGCCGGGCGTTGGTGTCGCATGCCTTTAATCCCAGCACTCGGGAGGCAGAGGCAGGCAGATCTCTGTGAGTTCGAGACCAGCCTGGACTACCAAGCGAGTTCCAGGACAGCCTCCAAAGCCACAGAGAAACCCTGTCTCGAAAACACCAAAAAAAAAAAAAAAAATGTGTATTACATTTCATTAGTTTTGTGCAGGTGTATGGATGTACATTTGCCACAGCTCCACTTATGGGAGCTGGTTCTCTCCTTCCATTACATAGGTCACAGGGTTCAAGCTCGACTCCTCAAGTTTGAGGAGGAGGAGGCAGGGAGGAATGTCTTAAGACATCCAGGCCTCCCTAGAATTTATAATGCACATGTCAAGTTTGAGCCTAGCCAAGGCTCCAGAGACTGTGTCTTTTTATTTTTTAACTTCGTTTTTTATTATTAATCTTACCTTTAAAATGTTTTGATTTTTTTTTTTTTTTTTTTTTTTTTTTTGGTTTTTCAAGACAGGGTTTCTCTGTATTGTTTTGGAGACTGTCCTGGAACTCACTCTGTAGACCAGGCTGGCCTCGAACTCACAGAGATCCACCTGTCTCTGCCTCCCAAGTGCTGGGATTAAAGGTGTGCTCCACCAACGCCCGGCAAAATGTTTTGATTTTTGTTTTATTTTTTGAGACAGGGTTTCTCAGTGTAGCCCTGACTGTCCTGGAACTCACTCTGTAGATCAAGCTGCCCTCTAACTCAGAGATCCACCTGCCTCTGCCTTCTGAGTACTGGGATTAAAAGTGTTCATCATCACCTCCTGGCTATTTTTAATTACACACATGTGTCTGTGCATCTGAGTGGAGATGCCCTTGCAGGTCAGAGGCATGAAATCTCCTGGAGCTGAAGTCGTGAGTCACCTGACACGGGTGCTGAGAATTGAACTTGGGTCCTCTGAAAAAGCGGTACACAGTCTTTTTGTTTGTTTCCTTTTAAATCTTGATGTGGTAGTTTGAATGAAAATGGCCTGCATAAGGGCTGGAGAGATGACTCAGCAGTTAAGAGCATTAGCTGCTCTTCCAGAGGACCTGGGTTCAATTCCTAGGACCCACATGGCAGCTTACAACTGTCTGTATGTAACTCTAGTTCCAGGGGATCTGACACCTTCAGCAATGCACATAAGATAAATTATTTTTAAAAAGAGAAGAAGATGGCCCCATAGGCTCATAAAGAATGACACTACTTAAAAGGACTAAGGATATGTGGCCTTGCTGGAATAGGTGTGACCTTGTTGGAGGAAATGTATCCCTGGGGGTGGGCTTTGAGGTTTCAGAAGATCAAGCCAGGCCCCCTGGCACTCTTTCTTCCTGCTGCCTGCAGACGATCCCTGGCTCCTTCTCCACCATGTCTGCCTGTGGGCTGCTTTGTTTCCCACCATGACAATAACAATCTAAGCCTGTAAACCAGCCCAATTATTATCCTTTATAAGAGTTGCTGTCATCAGAGTGTCTCTTCATAGCAATAAACCCTAACCAAGACACTTGCTGTGCTAATTTCTTTTTTTTTTTTTGGTTTTTCGAGACAGGGTTTCTCTGTGGCTTTGGAGGCTGTCCTGGAACTCCCTTGGTAGTCCAGGCTGGTCTCGAACTCACAGAGATCCGCCTGCCTCTGCCTCCCAAGTGCTGGGATTAAAGGCGTGCGCCACCAATGCCCGGCGCTCATTTCTTTTTTATTCTGTACACCTCACACTATACATTCTTAACCATTAAGCCATCTCTCCAGCCTGGAGACCTTGTCTTAAAACAACAAAAATTAAGTTTTGTTGCTATTGTTCTTTTTTTTTTTCCAAACTGGGGTCTGTTTGCTTCCAGTTTCTTCTAAAGAGCTAGCATTTGTGCAGCACTTCCTACCTGAGGGACACACTTCAGACTCTGTTACCTGATGAGCTAGCTCTCCCCTTCCCTTCCTTCTCCTCCCAAATACCAGGCCTCAACCCAGGCCGCGCAGCAGTCGCGACAGACACACACTTGTTTGTTTTGCATTTGAGACAGGGCCTCTCGAGTGCTGGCTAACAGACAGGAGCACCTGCTCAGCTTCAGTTTGTCATTCACCTGCAGTCTTGGCACTCGGTCGGCCCTAAATCGTCATCATATAGTCTCAGCATCCATATGAACATCCACTGCCTTCACCTCAGCTTCCACACCCATACTTTATACAGCTATTAAGCTGATGATGGTGGTGCACACCTTTAACCCAAGTGCTTTAGAAGCAGAGGCAGGCGGATCTCTATGAGTTCAAGGCCAATCTAGTCTACATACAGTTCCAGGCCAGCCAGGGCTACACGGTGATTAACTAGAAATGGAAGAGACCTGAGGTCTTCCTCATAGACAGCTTGATTGGCACTGTTCCCGTACATGTTTTCGGTATACCCTCCGAAAAATGTCTCTGAGAGATGTGCACACTACTGCTCCTCAGTCAGCTTCAGCTATAATTACAGTCCCACAACTGAACAGCAATGAATTACTTCAGGTGTTATGGGTCCAAAATCACCATGTGGAAGTCCTAATGCTGCTTCCTGTCCCTGACTATAACACATGAATATATTTGCTAGTAAGGTTAAATGACATCCTTAGTTTAGGCTCCAGGCAATACCAGCTGTGTTCCAAAAAGAGGAACTCTGAAGCTGGGGGTAATGGCTTGTGCCTATAACCCTAGCACTTGGGAAGCTAGGAGCTGCTGCCAACTCAAGGCAACCTGTGCTATATATTGAGCTCTGGCCCAGCCTGAGCTACATAGCAAAATTATGTATCAAAACAAATAAATAGGAAAACAAAATCAGCTGGGCAGTGGTAGCGCACGCCTTTAATCCCAGCTCTCGGGAGGCAGAGGCAGGCGGATATCTGCGAGTTTGAGACCAGCCTGGTCTACAAGAGCTAATTCCAGGACAGCCTCCAAAGCCAC